GTACCTGCGCGTGCGTGCCTAGCCAATGACAAGGCTGACCTCATAAAAAGACCAAAGGATCAATATGTCTGCTTCTATTACAATATTTTTACCTCATAAATATAAAGTGTTTATTCATTTTAAGTACATATGCATTACAATGTCTAAGATTTGGGAACCCTTTTCAGTAAAAAATATTTTAACTTATGCAAATAAGTTATCAAAAATAAGTTGTGTAAATTATATAACAATAATACATATATATATATATCCATTGCCTATTTAGCGGTCCTTAAAATATATAATATTACGGGATCGTAGCCGTTCATTTATTAACTGTCACAACCTATTTGTTATGAATATTTTTTTTATTATTTATTGAAGTTCAACACATCATATAATGCTAGATATATGTATAGATATATTTTTTTTCTAATATGATAATTAAGGTAAACATAAATATTAAAATACAATAAAAATATATATAAAATTCCTAGATAAGGTATCAGATAGGCACATAACAATGCTTTTTTATAATTGATAAGACTGGGCTACATCTAGATCTGAATATAAAGTAAAGTCCAGATCAGATTCCAAGTTACCTACCCGCTAAGGTACCAAATGGTGTTAATAATCAACAGTTATGCCAATATTTTCCTTATTAATTTCTACCCGTTTCAAAGATTAATTAATAATTTGTATTCGCTAGAAACAAAGAATAAAAAGTTTAAATATTCATCGTCTTATAAATTGCAAGGTCGGTAAGAATAATAGCTACTTAATTTAATATTTCGATACATTGAATAAATCACAACCAATTACATTATGGTTAACTTTATGAAGATGAATAGAACGAATATATCATCACTGACATAATACACATAAGATATAATGTGTTAATTAAAAGCCCCGAGCATTTTCACCCGCTAAAACCAGTAATCATCATGAGCGATACAAAAAATTGCGAGATTCAAAGTAATGGAGAAAACGCAAGAAGTCACGAACTTGTTTCCCGATGGGTTCTCGAATTTGACTACTGTGCATTTACACGGGCAGCTGCAAGAGAGGGACAGACATATGCCACAGACGCGCAGGTGTACGAGCGAGAGGGATGGTAATAGCTGCGCTCGCGCCGCTCGCTTTGTTCGGTAGTACTAGTTGGCTCGAATCGCAGGCGGCAGGAGGTCGATCCAGTGCGCTTTTCAGTTCCAGTTTGTGTCCCGACCCGCTAGCAGCTGCCGCGGGGCACGTCCGCCGCAGTTGTTGATATACTCGAATTTTAATCACCCGTCTTCCACCCCGAATAGTGTGACGTCTTTCATGTGCAATAGTATACACGCTGTGTCTTGTGTTGTGAATTAGTTATCGAAATTAACTGTTAGGTAAGTTGAAAAAGCTCAGATGTATTGGGACGCGCTTAGAATTATCGATGTTGGAATGCAGTTTGACGGCATACGTTAAGCATGTGCGGGAACAAAAGCCTTGTGCAGTCAGGCTTTTTTCATACCGCTTTCACGTCGTTGAAATGAACGCGGTGACCGATATTTCTAGTTATGAATTAAAACTCGTTATGAGGTGTGAGTTTCGAACTCACAGGTAGCGTCCCTGTTTACCTGGGACGAGCGACGTTGATCCTAACAAAGAGTTTCAGACAGAAAATCTAATTACCAACAATGATTAATTCAAAATTAATGACGTATAAAGTTTTTGCTTAATTTTATTAATAACTTGCTATAAAAACCATGTGTTGAGGGATCCAGTATTTTGACGCATTTCAAGCATGGCGTATGTGTATGTTATCGTTTTGTGTACATAAGTTATCATCTTTTGACCGTTTGATACCAATTTATGTTACGACATATGCAAATAAATATTGTAATACTACAGAATAATACCAGATTAGTATCACTAAAATATATTTATCATTAATAAGGTAGGATAAAGTTTTCACTGTATGATTAAAATCTCATAATCGTGAAGTAAATGTTCCTAAATTAATCTTATTAAATACATTTTTTGGCTAATATAAATAATATCACATCAATTAAACAAATATCACAAAAAAATATTTACTAAAACACACTAAATCTGCGGCCCTTCTAACTCAAATTCAAGCGTTAAGATTAATAGTTTATTTGAGCTTATCTATTTGAGCTAAAAGGATCTCACCCTCTGCGTCCTCGTCATACGAACCTTTACGTAATTGAGTAATATCATAAAATATGATTTATTCATGTAGGCAACTTAGTACAAATTCAATCAGCAAACAAATTAATGGTTCTAAAATTTTAACTGCCAGTTCTCAAATCAAGGATGAAGAACAGACGGGAAGAACTAGCAATACGTCACTCTTTTAAATGGGCACACACGTTTCTATATTGTAGGAACCTCGTATAACCCTAGCAACAGAAATTGTTGATAAACAATCCCAACCACCTCGAACCTGCATATTTTAACAGGTCACACATTGAATTTCTGTCACGGTGTATGCGCAACACCTGCATTGTAAATGAGCGTTTGATAATCCCTATTTGTATTTCAGACATAAAACAAAGCTTTCTTCTTGCTCATGGTTAATTTTAATTTCCCCAAAAAAAAAAAAAAAAAAAACGGACCCCGCGAAAAAGCTTGCGAACTGGAGAGTGTAAATTTGAATAACTGAACAATAACTTAAAACGATTCAAAAGTGTACTTGGTTTCCCACTAAAAACATATTTTAGTTTGATTTGAGTTTAAGATTTAAACTTCTATAGATACGATTGTAAGGTCCACTTTCTATAATATATTAAAATTATTAGTTGCATCGTTAGTTAGACATATTTATCTACTATTAGAAGAATGACTAGGAGTCTGACACTGACACTGATAAGCCTATTATGTCAAACGTCATAAAACAGTTCTCTAAAGTATGCCACAAGGTGTAAATGCTTTATCATTACTGAAACTATGAAAAAATAACATAATATATTCTATACGCGTAGTAACAATTAACCAGAACAAGTTTCAATACGCCATTTGTTTACAAATTGCAGCTGTATCTTTGAACTTAGATAATACGTCACGTTGCACTGACCTTAGGAACGTATTTATCGTAAATCGTTAGTCATATTCTAACGTGGGATGTCTCATATCAACGTTTCTACTAATTTCAATTAATTCTGTAATCTGTTATTTAATATGAACATATTATGCTGTGACATTGTAACATAAATCCAAGACCGCAATCCCGATTCGATATTTCCGCGCCACTTGATAACATCTCAATGACAGACCAGACCAATGAACAAGGAACACCGGATACAATGACAAATACTACAGCATTATAAGGTTCAAGATGGTTGTATATGTGAGGTAAACAATGCGGAACGAAACCGCGGTCAATGAAAGTTAATGAAATCTACCAGAAGACCAACGTTTTTCATTATTCATTCTAAAGTTGCACAATTTTGAAAGGAGACCTTGCTGATTGAAAATCTAAAGCTTCAGTTCGGAATTCAAATGAAGAAATTCATTCCAATTGAACAATTACCGATGAGATTTCTCGTGACTTAACTGATCATACGATATACGACGTGAACTGGACAGCGCGGGCGCTCAAGCAATTAGAATTCATTGAGATCGAAACGACGCGTGCCTTGAGACAGCTCGACGATTGTTATTACTAACATCTTGGGTTACACCGCTATAATACATCGTTAAAACAATTGAAATAACATAAGCGATCATAAAATATACAAGATCCACAGTTAATAATGAAACTGGAGTGCATGTTTACTCAAAAAGTTAAAGCATAGCAGACACAACTTCCATGTAAGATAAGATAACAAACATAGTTGATACAGATGAGAATTTCATCAGCCATAAAGCTAAAACAAGAAATGTCGTGAGCGTGATTACGTCGCGACGTCGGACGACGTGCGAAACGGGTAAAGATTGTCGCTGTTAAACTGGTTTCCGCGTAAATTTCGCGTTGCCACGCGGTGCATCGGTGTGCCCTGAGAGCTAAGGTAAGGCGAGGGGAGGGGACTTTAAACACAGGAGGCGAGCAGCGGCCGGTCGACGACCCCCTTGCCCTGTGAACGAGCAAGCATTTGCCTTCAGCGGTGACTATTCTAACAGTTGAAAACGAATTTACGATCCATAAGTCTTAACGCTTCCTTAAAGAAGCTATAAACAGATGTAATGTTGTAAACGGCTCTAATGACGAGCCAGCATTTGCCTTCAGCGGTGACTATTCTAACAGTTGAAAACAAATTTATGATCCATAAGTCTTAAAGAAGCTATAACCAGATGTAATGATGTCGATTAACGGCTCTAATGGATAGTCATCACATGCTCTTTAATATAATAAATTACTTTAATAACCCAGCCCTCAGTCTAGAACATCTTGGACACGCGATAGCGCGTAGGAACAGGATCTAGAAGATTCAAGGCTAGATCTATTGATGATGATTGTCGTCGTCATTACTCCCTGTTCCCTTCTACAATCACTTATTCTAAAAACCAACGACCCAAATAGATCGGAACAAAAAATACCTATAAAAAACGTGGGACCGCAGCGTGGGCGTGAGGTAGCCGAAACTTCATGAGGTCAATGATTAAAAACATATCTAGCGTATCTAAATTTTATGATTAATATCGAATAATAAACTCCAAACGCTTCATCTATATTGGCAAATAAAACGAAAATAGGCAACGATGATTCGAAATGAATAAAACATACCATATAACGCCTAATTCCGTATGAACGCCGTATGGCACTTGTGACGACACCGTTTTGGACCGCGATTTATTTATAGATAGTAATCGAGCTATTGTATAAACTTGTATCCGTAGAACGTAGAATTGGAATGAAACGTTCATAAGTTTTTGTTGGTTGGTGCAAGAAAAAATACGAAGTCAATTTAGTCCTACTTGAAAATGGAAACATTCACGATTTCGTTACAAGAGAGATATTTTTATATTTGAAATGCCATGTTCGTAATAACTAATTTAATTTTCAGAACAAATAGGGACGCAAGATGGCGATCTTCGGTATGGCATCGGCGGTGGCGGGCTTCGTCAAAGTCCGCTACCTGATCGACAAGGCAGTGATAGACAATATGGTCTTCCGTATGCACTACAGAATCACCGCAGCCATCATGTTCCTGTGCTGTATACTGGTGACGGCCAATAATCTTATCGGTAAGTGTTATGTTCATTTACCACCGTACTTTGCAGCAATGATTGTATATCTTCTAAGGATGATACAACTTTGGTAATGATCTAATAATTGTAAACAAAAACTGTTTGCGATACCAAGGCCCATATATTAACATAGATACCAGTATGCTGAACAGATCCCCGTTAACAAAGATGTAGTGGTTACTTTATATGTTCGCAGATTGAGTTCATAGTAGCGATAATGTGTATCTAACGTATTTAAAATTATTTATTATATAATGTTTTGGACATTGTCGTATTGGTTTGAAAAATCTTAACATATAAAATAAAATCTTCCTCAAATACTAATTCTTACGACCTCTTTGTACTCAACTTACCCGATTGAATTAAGTAATACTCATATTTGAAAGTTAACATCTAACGGAGAAAGCTAATTAACTGTAAGACCAGACGAATGTCAGACGTGAAAATGAGTCATTTTCAGTTTCCCGTAGTGTAACAGTTACCCAAATTTAGACGTCACGAGCAAATTGCTTGTACACACAAACATTGAAGCGTATACGTGCCAAGTTTAAAACCACTGATACGAATCGGGCCAGTGAACTGTTGCATCGATTTGACCTTTATCAGTTTCAATTGAGAGCAATCCCACTAGACTTTCTAGAGTGAATATGAAATTTTAGTTTTAGGTCAATAGAAGTATTACAAACTAGGTTTCTCTGGAGTTCAAGGACATATCAAAGATAAACAGTATAGTTCATTTAAGACGCAGTTAAACAGGTGTTCAGATTCTTCAAATGCCGGCAACGCACTCGCGAGCCCTCTGGCATTGAGTGTCCATGGGCGGCGGTATTACTTAACGTCAGGTGAGATTGTGGCCAAACGTGTATTGTTTTTTATATAAAAAAACTCGGACTATTGGACTTGGGTAAATTGTAGTAGATTTAAATAGTACTTTTCTTCCTGACTCTAACCAATGAATCAGATGAGTGTACGTGATTGTTATGTTAAATATGGTAATTGAAAAAAAGCTATAAAGTTTGACATACTCGTTCAAAACGAAATAACATACATACATATAACTATGTCATAAAATCTCTCAATTTAACTTTTGTGATTAATATCACTCAGTTAACGGGGGTTAAAGAATATCATAAAAACCCTTACGTTAACAAACTAGGGCTCAGGAATTTCATTTTTCGTTTAAAGTCTTAAACAGTAATGGGAAATCAATTACTAACAATGATATAATAACTTCAATTTGTGCTAATTTATGGTAACGTTTTGTGACCATTTGCTAATCTGCCATTTGTTTTTGTTTACAAATTAGAAATTAATTACACGATTATTCATCACGCTGATGCCGGCAACGCGCTCGCGTGCCCTCTGGCATTGAGTGTCCATGGGCGGCGGTATCACTTAACATCAGGTGATCCTCCTGCCCGTTTGCCCCCTATTCTATACAAAACTCTAATTGTAATGTTGGCCTTTGAACATAGTTATAAATTATTAAATGAATTGGCGCGAATGCGAATTTATTTATTGATTCACAAATATACATACACCATACTTACAGTACTAAGCCAAACGATAATACGAAACAAAGAAATATGTATAATAAATATACGTAGTTGGTCCCAAAGTTTTGTCACTAGCACATTGGAATTTCTACATTCGAGCAGGATTTTATAAAAAAAATTATTGCATTCTATTTTGGCCAATGTTTGCCTATTGTTTTAAAACAAAAACAATAACCGTAATTCTTTCACGATGGAGTGGCACATTGAAAGTAAACCGAATAGTTGTTGATTGCGTTGCACCGCTGTGGACTTTGTCGAGTACTGCATTTTTAAGTTCCTCAAAAATTTGAATATATTACTTAGGTTTGTGTTTAGGTACATTTATATTATAGGTACATTGCAGTCTCCAGTGTTGAGGACAAAAACTCCTGAAGCTGGCCTACGTCTCCGTAAGAACTCACCATGCAGCAATCAAATGCTATCAAGGCGCGGATAGTAAGAAATCCTGTCCGAAAACTGAAGTTGATGAATTTGCACGATGGGTGTCAGTAGGAAAACTGTTAAAAGGTTTTAAATGAAGATATTGGTCTAAAAGCATACAAAAAGTGGGACATACTTGCTCGTCTCAAAGCAAAAGGCTTAAGATCCAGGTGCTGTTTAAGCGGTATGCCAAAAACCCAAATTTATCCTCTTTTGTACGGATGAAAAATTTTTCGAATTTAAGAGAAGGGGTACATAAACGAATTATACAGTAAAAACCCTAAGAGTTACTGTTAAGAAGCTGAAAATAAAGTTCCAAGGGTGCAACATGGACATCATCCATCATCCGTATGGTTTGTGGAGTCTTAGACGGGCTAACTGAGGTTAATTTTTCGAAAAGGGGGTCAAAACCAGTGCTACAGGTTGTACTAAGAGACGGTTTTGTGTCGCCTTGTCAAAGACATGTCCAGCACCCTATTTGCGGACATCAGCTTTGTTTCCAGCAGGACTCTGCGTCTGCATACAAAGTCAGACACTAAAGCCTGGTTTGATCGTCAAAACATCCGTCTGAATTCGGCAACGATTGGCCTTCCTCCAGTCCGCCTTAATCCTTTGGACCAGAAATTATGACAGGGCTTAGCGAGGAAGGTCTGTGATAAACCTCATGAAAATTAGGAGAATCTGAAGTCATCTTTAAAAAACCAGTGACTGAAATGGACACGAATATGTGCGTGCTGCGATAGTACGACTTGGCCTTGAAGCCTGTATAAAAATTAGGAAGGTGATTTGGGCTAATTTTTTATGCTTTTTTTATTCCTTAATTAATTTACTAAGAATTGATATATCACTCATTACAAACTGATCAGTACTTTTGTTTTTATCATTATTTCCATTTATGACAGAACTTTGGGACCGACTACGATATATATATTATACACAATATCGCTACTGTGAACTCACTCTGGCTTTTATAGGAAACAATTTAAGACCTTATAACCTCACGACATATATTAAAATAAATTGACACTATAATAAGAATAATTCGTATTTTTGACAAATTGCATTAACGCTATTATATAGAGAACTTAAAGACTGATTTATCTTAGCATTTTAGGCAGTTTAATGTTTCTAGTACAGCATTTGCTAATTCAAAGTCCAGTAATATTACTACGTTGCATTACGTGTCTAGGCAACACGGTCGCATATGCAACCAGGTGGCAGTTATAGGTATACGATAACCGTAATCACCTTGTTTATTGCTAGGTTATATAGGTTATAAGTTTATAGTTAACTAGAAATTGGATAAAACTTACTACAGGCAGTTAATCAGAAAATAATCTGGACAACAAACAGAACAAATGTTTTGCCTTATACTAACAGTAAATTCGTGAAATTCCCCAAGCTGATGAGGCAAAAAAAATTAAAATATCTTTTGTTAATATTCGTAATACTCCTTTATTGTGTAGATAAAATCTTAACCCTCATAATACACAGCATAATACCATCTTTTGTAAAGTCTAAATAAATCATTTAAAAACACTTATGGCCATAAAATTTTTCATTATAACATCGCCATTCAAAGAAACCATTCAAAATGTAAAACAATTAAATATTTTGTATTCACGTATTGAAATATAATTCAAAGCAGCTTATGTTTTTTACCTGCTCGGTACCTTTGAGCTTAGTCATAACCTGTGTCAGATTTATTGCCCTAAATTCTGGGTCGAACGACCGCATATTGCAACACATTAGACAATACTTCGTAAATTTTATAGCCTTTTAAAAGATTGTTACTTTCTAATCTGTGTATTGAACTACAGATTATACTTATATATTTTTAAATCATCATGTTTTTTCTAATCGTTTTACGTGGCGCTATTAAGGTTTGGGCCTCAGATTTCTGTATCTGTATCTGTTTCATGTTACCTATTAGGCAAGTAAGTGATTAGCCTCCTCTGTGCCTGACACACGCCATCGACTTTAAAACATATCATCCAATTAATTATACATTACGCGTACATTTAAAGAAATTAATTTCGCGACACTTAAAATATTTAAGCGAATTATAAGAACATCATAGCTATACTACGGCATTAGTTTGACACCATTTAAATCCATAAGGTCATAAGAAATTATGTTATTTGTTTGCTTCATGTATGTACACGATCAACTCATTAACAATACAAGAAATATAATATTAAAGGCGTTTGATAAGACCGTAAATAGATTGATTTGAATATTTATTAAAAAGGACAAAGACGAAATAATGTTAGAGATTTTTCCAAAAACAAGTGACCAGTTTTAGGTGTATCAGGTATCAATAGTTGGAACACTGCCAAAAGGATTAGTTGATCATACTTATTGCAACGACATGTGCACATAACTGTAAACTTTATCATGAAGTTTGCCGTGACCCAGTAAGTGAGGATACATTTGCGCATGATTTTATTGAAGATTAAGATAAACTTTATTAAATACTTTCAAGAAATGACATATACACTTTAAAACCACTCTGCTTTTAAAACACCGTCTCTTCATCATCATGTTCACACGATTTGACAGAAAGACTCGATTCATGATAAGAAATTTAGCCTGGGCACCACTGTATATACCAAATCGTAATTGCAAATGCTTCTATATAAAACATTTTCATTTCCTTATATACCTTTTAGTAAAATATCATTTATAATGACCTATTGATAAGAATGTATCTTTACAGTTATAAAATTCTATAATTCAATATTCAATACAATTTTACGACACCTTCGCATACAACCTTCATCCCACATAAGTAAACAATAATGTTATATTGACTATTGTCCTTTTGGCCTTTTAAACTAAAGTATAAGTAATTTGGACTTAAAATAAAAATGTTTAAATTCTTAATTTAGATACCTATTATATCCCTAAGTTGCATTTTATATATTATAAAGATTCCTTCGCATCAAGATTGTTAATTGAAAAGATAAAATTATGCAAGGTGTTCTGCAGCTGCAGAAAAAAGCCAATTTTAACTATCATTGTTTTTAATTAATAATAGACGTAGAACGATACAATTATATTCATAATTATGCATTATTATATATACCGTAATACCCCCTATAACGCGGTATTTCCCCCTATAACGCGGAGATTTCTGAAGTTATATTCCTGTAGAAATATATAATAATTTGTGAAGTTCATAATTATTTTGCGTACCTTTGGATCTGTTTCAATTGTGTTGTTATAAAATTAAACTAAATAACTTTATTAAATTCGTGTCTCTAGTATTTGATGGTTTTACGAGAATACTCCTACAACGCGATTTCCTATAATACGGTTCGGGTCTACCGCATTATATGGGGGATTAGTGTATATATGTATATCTCATTCTATAACATAACCTGCTGATACCATGTGCATATCTCTGGGTCGGCAACTCATGTCTGTGTATCGTAGTCAGGTGTACAGTAAGGTCTGGCGCGAATAATTTTCTTGCACCAAATTTGGTCCTGCATTATTTTATACAACAATGTATAATGTTGACGAGTCTTTGACTTGATCAGTCCATCTCGTTGGCTAACGCCCACACGATTTTGTCTTCGGTGTTGCCAATAACGATGCGCTTTTCTAGGTTCTCGTCACCCCTACGAATTATGTGACCAAAGTACGAAATGCCCGCATATATTTGATAAACGTATTAATAAGTTGCATTAGACAAAATACAATATTGTATCTGTCTAAACTGTAGTTACATTTTACCCGTGTACATCGTTTTAACCAAGAAACAGCCTATCTTTTTATTGCATTTTTTTAAAGAGTAAATTAACTTGCAGAAAAAAAATCTCATATAATCAGTTCCGCAGATAATAAAGGCTAATTTGCACTTTGTTAATTACGTTAATTTTTCATATACACATGTAATAAACTAGATCGTAAGTGCTTAAACTATTCTAATTGGTAGACGAGCAATTAGTTGCATGTGAAGACACCCGAGACATTGTAATTAATGCATATTACATTTCCTATATTCCTTCTGTTACTTTATCATTGTTAGCTGAGACCTACTTGTACGAGTATGTATTTAATCATCTTTTGTTTTACGATTTCTGCTTGCTTTGATTATATTATTTGAAAGGGCACTTGTTCATCTCACATGGGCGGGTTTACATTTTTGCGAATAGGACCGTATATTATATATAATTAGTGTTTCTTACTTAGCCTACCTTTTTAGTAGCTACTAACATATGGAACACTTTGCTATGGTATATGGACTATGTTAGCTTAAACTATATTTGTATTTATTTAATATGTTTCTCTTCATAAAAACCTTCATCAGAGTTCAGGGAATGCATAAAAAACTACTCGACAACAGTCAAGCCTTCGACTTTTGAGTTTAGCAACATATTTTGTAATTACTTTTTATTTATATACATTTGTATATATAAGGACCCGGAGAACCATCCTTCCAAAGGCATATCTCATTATAAACAAAAATTAAACAACTAAAATTCAGCCATCATAAAATTCACGATCTCTTTAACATTCATTGAATAACCGCCAGTAGCATTAATACCTACAAACATGAAAAAATCCTAGTAACCTTTGGTTATAAAGCTCAAATTTCATATAAATTTTTGAAAGAACAAATGTTAATTAATATGAAATAAACTACACGGAATTAATGTGTTGTCTGTGGAGCTTAATACAGTAAAAAATACATAATGAGTTAGCTAGGCGCGTCTACTACGTCTTGACGTCACGATACAAATTGGTTCTCATGCAACTCATCCAATGCCACCCATAATCACAATTGTCGTAATGAAATACCGCTCATATTTACTAATTAATATAATCCGAACTTCGCATTCTTCGAATGTCATTATTTAAAATGCAAATATTGAAAAACAATTAATTTCTTTTGTTTAAATTAATACGACACCCCTTTGTACTCGTTATTTTCAGATCATAAGTCATTTAGCGTGGCATACAGAGTCATAACTCTCATGTTTGAATCCTGAGACATAAATAGAGCTTCGTTATACTGACAATAGTACTCAATAACAAAAAGTCTCATCATTTACCCTACTGTTTAATTAGAAATTCTCACCATCGAATTTCAAAATTAGAACAAATAGCTCCCGAACGAAACAAATGAGTCGTCTAAATAATTAAGACAGTAAAAATTCGTTCTTTCTTATACTGATCGCTTAAGTCCATGTATTTGATGGATGCATTTGTTTATTTGTATGGCCTTGGCAAAAAGCAAGGTGATAGGCAGTCACGGCCGTAATTTAACAGGTAGGGGCATATGCAATATTAGATCACCATTAGTTCATCCGTTTACGTATGCAATGTCGAGGACGCGTGGGAAATTATACAAGCGCCGTCTTTTGTTTTCTTTAGCTAACATTTGTATGAATAGCTAACATTTGTATGAATAAAAATAAATGATTTTTTGTTTCACAAGCGTTTACGATGTCGTAAACGGGGCATTATATTAGGGAATAAATTTATAATATAATAGTTTTAGCTTTATTAGATTAACAATTAAGTAATAAACATACACAGACACACACTCACGTTCACACATAAACATAAACACACAATTTACGCATTTTCCCTAAACAGAAGTAAGACAATTATTTATTTATAAGAGTATATAACTGTCACTTGTTTAGTACTAAGTTTTTGTGAGAAATGAATAAAGATTTTTATTATTATAACACATTTGGTATCTTTTTCATAGACAATTAAATGCCATCTGTGCCTGCCAGGTCGATTTCTGTGATTACTATACGGATTGAGCCAGTTTTTAATAATTTTCTTCGTTCTGTATGTTCTAAAAATCCTCCATAAATTTTCAGGTGACCCTATATCCTGCATCAACGACGGTGTGATACCAAACCACGTAATTAATACATATTGCTGGATAACATACACCTTCACACTACCGCACACCGCCGCCGGCAAGGGAATCTCCCATCCAGGGCTTGGCAACGATTACGGAGAGGAGAAACGGCATCATTCCTACTACCAATGGGTGCCTTTCGTGCTCTTTTTCCAGGTCAGATAACCATAGACAGTGGACCACCTTGACCTTCAAACAAGCTTGTAATCTTTCAAAAAATACTTGAGCTTGGCCTTATACAGATAGTGCTTAATAGGAAATTAAAGTAGCTTTTAGTGGTATACTTTTCAACTTTATTAAGCTTTCATATAGATAAAATTACTTTAAGAAAACTTTAACTTCTGATTCTAGTTCATAACGTAAAACTTAAAATATTAATAATTAATTATAATAATAGAAGATAAACAACAATATATTTATAGGGCGTATTATTCTATCTTCCACACTGGATTTGGAAGAACTGGGAAGAGGGAAAAGTCCGTATGATCTCCGACGGAATGCGAGGGACATTGGCAACCATTGACGACAGCAGAACTAACCGCCAGGTAAGAGATATACATACTGATAAGTCCCATTGTTTAAAGCATAAGTTGTCATACAAAATACTTAATAAAATGCAGGTAAACAAAGGTACTTTAACTATTATTGTTAATATGTGATTTACTGATCGCAAGTACATGTTTTTTACAATAAGTACCATTTGTATATAAAGAGCATTGTAGGTAAGCTTTAATATTTTGAATATAATCGTATTTATTTAAAAAATGTATATAATATATTATAAATTAATCATTATTTCAGTGACGTCATCTCCCACAGAATGTTTATCCTAGAACTTTAAAAACCCTTAAATATTGATTGTGTAAAGTTTTCAATGTTTTGGTTTGAGAGGTATTATCAAATTTGAATTAAGAATACATTCAAGTGGTTTAAATTTCGATCTTGGATAATTTTTGATATTTCAGTTATAGCCACAAGTTGGCATTACTACATTATTTAGACATAAACAAAGAAATAATATTTATTAGTAACTAATATTATTTCCCTTATGTGTTTAGATTCCTTTAATGCAGCCATAACATTGGATTCCTTTTACATATAATCATCGTTGTCCTAGATCGTTTATTACTTATGATAATGTACTACACTGGAAAGACTCATCAATTGGTACAATTGAGATAAGAGTTCATGTCCCTAATAATTGACCTCTATGCATTCTTTTGCTTCTCTATAACTCTTTGTTTGTTTCAGAGTCGCTTAGTTCAGTATCTTGTAGATACTTTACATATGCACAACACGTACTCTTTCGGATATTTCTTCTGTGAAATACTAAATTTCATCAACGCTGTAAGTACTGTCATAAAAACATTACATTTAAGTGACGTATCGAGTTGTTTACATCTATGGTCAGCGAGCCTGACATTAAACAGATTATAATTCAGATTAACAGATTATAATTCCATATTAATAAAGAGACATTGTTGCTATATTAACGCCATCTATGGGCGCTATTCGTAATATTTAGCTAAATTAATTTATCTTGTTTCTCGATATTTACGATTTAACCCAGCTACTGATTTAAACACCATACATAATATATGAATTATACATTGTTTAATCGTTTTTCTTTTATTTTAGGTTGGAAACATTTTCTTCTTAGATACATTCCTCGGTGGAGCATTTTTAACATATGGTACCGATGTTGTCAAATTTTCAAACATGAATCAAGAGGACCGAACCGACCCTATGGTAATGTCAAAACAATTTTACTTTACATTTACGGAATTTAATTTCATATAACTTATTTATATTTTTGTTTTCAGATCGCAGTATTTCCTAGAATAACCAAATGTACATTCCACAAGTTCGGAGCGTCTGGCACAATTCAGACGCACGACTCTCTTTGCGTGCTCGCCTTGAACATTCTCAATGAGAAAATATTCATTTTCCTTTGGTTCTGGTGAGTATGTCATTACCTAAGGGAGCGTTGAAGTATTACGTCACGCAATTTTTGGAGATTATTGACAATGTAACGCGCCATAACGTTTTTCTGTACCCTGTAGTAAAACGTTTCGTGACCACCCAGTGACTCTTTATACCTAAAAGTTACCAGTATGTCGTGTAAAGTACTGGAAAGTCGAAAATAATATTAACAATAACGCGTAATTCAAACCCCGCCCCGCATCATAACGTTTTACAAAAGAAAATTTCGTTACGTAATACTTGAACGCTCCCTAAAGGCTAAAGAACCTGAAGGAAACAAGACTCAATATCTATTTCAATTGCAGGCTAATTATTCTGTCTATCGTCTCCGGCCTGGCATTGGTTTACTCAGCCGCTGTGATTCTCTTGCCAAGCACACGTGAAACGATTCTCAAGAGACGCTTCCGATTTGGGACACCTAACGGTGTTGAATCACTGGTTCGGAAGACTCAGGTATGTATACAACATTTTTGTGGGTTCGACTGTAGTGTAAAATCGATAACATAACATTTTCATTATTTCAAAACATATTCATTATTGTTACATAAGTTAACAAAATTTATTTCAAATCTTTACTAATATTATAACGAGGAAAGATTTGTAAGTATGTTTGTAACGAATTGGCTCAATAAGTACTGGACCGATTTTTAAAATTCTTTCACCATTTGAATGCTACATTATCACTGATTAATAGGTTATTTTAATTGCAAGAAAAAATAAGGATCCTACTAACTAAACTACAATAATGTTACCCAATGTGTAAAAAAATGCCTATAAATATCTTTCATCGCATGCGCTGCGAAAACTATTGATGATAGAACAAAAAAAAAATCCACAATATTAACCACATATCTATATATAATTCTTAGATGAGTCAAATGTCTAATGTAAAACCCCTACAGACGCATAAACAAAATATAACTTTTTAATTTAATGATTTACAGGTTGGCGACTTCCTCCTTCTACACCTACTGGGTCAGAACATGTCACTTCGCGTATTCGGGGAAGTGCTAGATGAGCTAGCGAGAAGACTGCATTTCGGTTCAAACCCACCATCTGCACCATCTACTATCGAGATGGCACCCATTTATCCCGACATTGACAAGTTCTCTAAGGAGACCGAGACGTAAGCGGCTATAACACACCCGTCACTCTAAGATTCAAATACATTCCTTGGAATCCTAACGATTCTGTCATATGTCAGTTATGACACTGACAACACGTTTCCGAAGAACGAATTTGAATCTAGGACGACTCTTTCGCATTGGGTGTCAAATGTCAATTTGAGTTCACAATTTTTAATATGTCCAGGTTTCATATGCCTCATACTAGTGTATGGACTAATTAAAAAGTCTGTGAACTCAGTTATGAGCAGCTCTAAAATCCAACGAAAAATAGCAATTCATGACATTCCTTTTATGTAGACGTACAAATATTGCCTATTTTCTGCACATAGTAATTTAAATGCTTTGTTAAATATGCCGTCGTGTAGATAAAAGCAGGGTAGTGAATTCTTGTTCGGTAACTAGGTATAAAAGAGAACATACGAATTTGGTATACAGTAATTGACCAATTAGTTAAGACAATTCCCTTATTCATAAAAACTAATAGAATCGTTTAAACTAAGATCATCAAAAATACGAAACATTTTGTTTTTATGAACCGTGGGTAATTATTACAAGCAGTGATAACATATGAGTTAAATGTATACTATACGCTAAACATAGATACTATATTGTAAGACAAGTCAATGATTGAGTACAAAGTAGTGTTGTGCACAGGCACCTTGACTTGCCTTATATCTCGAAGATTTATTTTGATATTATATAGCTTAAGTATTGGTGCAAGTTGTGGTGTCAAAATATTTTTATACTCGCGTTATTTACTCTAAACATCGTGCCATTGTAGACGAAATATTGGCTATCACCAGATGTGCATTTTATTAAAGTAACATCTACAATTCTCATAAGACATTAGGACCAATTTTTATTGTATTCTTATAGTGTAAGACTTTTCAGTCAATTTAGCCATATTCGTAGTATTAATTAGATTTATAAGCGACAAGAATCTCGCCAACTATTTCTTCCATATATAAACTAATTTAGGCATAATGACTCCCAGTATGGTTTACTAGTATATAACGAATTAAGACAAAATAAAAGTTTCATTAAATTTTAAACGTTTATCATTCCTACTGTAGTTTTTAATTTTAGAGACTGTTCTTGTGACTTTTATAAATTACTATTCAATGTAATTTCGGTTATATCTCATTGAAATAAACGAATTTTTTTTTCGGAAAACGGCCCTTTATTTATTTTTATTCTAAGAATTATCTAACTGACGTGTCTCCACCGTAACTAATCACTAACCATTAAACCTACATAGTAGAAGCTATGTTAAATTCACAATAGCATGCCATATTTATCATTATAAATATACAGCCTAACTTGTTGCTACTCAAACTCAAAATATCTTTATTCATATAGGTAAACAAGTACACTTATGAATCGTCAAAAAGAAGTTAAATTAATTGTAAATTTACATTTACTACCAGTCGCAAGTCAAGGGCGTAGAGCGGGTAAGAAGAACTGGCAAGAAACTTTCCGCCACTCTTTTTAATTGCCAAGTATTGTCATACAACAATGTTTGAACTGGAGCAAATCAATCCCAAGGATTAGGATCTTTGAAGTATTCGTCAAATTTATAAAAAGCTTTTTTGATTAATTTACGTTCAGCGAGTGCTTTGTAAGTTATTATATCTATGTATATCATATACAAGTACGAAAAACATTTTAAGTATATTTAATATATTATTACTTCCCCAAAATTTTAAAAAGTTTATGTTTATATGTAAAAAAAAGTAAATTAGAAACTTATAGTGATTACGAAACCATGTTATTACCCGTTACTCTGTAATTGATTTGTATATGCACGAAGTTAACGTAATCTTATGAATAAACTCTTTAAATCAATACCCATGTCTAAGAGACCGTTACTAGGAGAACACAATAAAATATATAAGGAATATATAAAAGTACTTACCGATTCCCCCAATCGAGTTTAGCGACGAGTTTAAGCCGTAATGCCCTCGTCTGATCTTGGGTTAACGTACCAGTAAGTAACGCCCGTCGGCCACTTAGCAATTCCCGCATCACTTTCGCTACAGCACTGAACCTGTATGTTTCCCGTTCCTGAAATACAGGATATATCTCTAATGAGGCTCTTATTTTTTATGTTTTAACTGCATACAACATAGTTTTAAATAATTTCGGTTTAAAAAAATAACATCGTAAAATATATGCAAAAATTTGTCTACTCCACAATCGGTTGGCTTCTAAAATAGTAACCGAGTTTCTTAAATACTCTTCTCATACCTTAACATTTAGAGCTTATTACAAAATATTAGATAAATATAAAGATCTAAAAGTTTTGGGCTTATTTTTAACCTAAAAGCATTGAAAAAAAATAGATGTATGTACATACCTACATTATAAATAACACTATATGATGTGAGTTCACACTACTGAATTAAAGTCAATTTAGGAATATGGGATCATGAAACAAAAACTAAATGTCGGTCTCAGTATACTATACTCTATCTAAGATAAAAGCATATCTTGAAACAATACTCGTTTCATCTAAATGAAGACAACTATATATCTATAAAACCTAACATTCAATGTAGGAGTATCTTTCTACTTAAGTGTTTTTTAAAGGCAACCAGAGTAAAATCTTTATATCCTAACAACCTGAAATAAATGTTGTTCTTCTAGGAATCATCACCATCTGACAATATTCACTGAGTGCATTAACCACTAAACAAAGAAGGCAGTCTACATAACTATGACAAAATATACAAGTCTTTGGCAAAATCTTATTAATGAGTTCATTATTTTTGCTAAATCACTATAACAAAAACTGATTATTATGCTGATTCTCACTGAGGATTATACAGTGTAAAAATTTAACAAAAACATGAAGGCCATTGAAAGATATTATAATAAAATATAATTCACACAAGCATGAGTCAGTTCATCAGTTCTTAGGGATAATTGTGCAAAAAGAAAATTTTTGTCAACTGGTCTTTAAACTACATTAGGTATAAATCTAATTAGGGAGCCATCATTCTATTTATAGTTAAAACCCAAGGAAACATTAAGTTAAAGGTAAACAAGCCTAGACAACAGATTCATAGATTTTATGTTATAATTATTATTTAATTATTAAAAGATTCCGTTAAATAATCCCAAATAAGATAGAACTAAAAATACCTACAACATAAAGCTTTTTCCAGAGTCGAGCCCATTCCCTAAGCACACAGGCAATTTCTCGAACCAATGGGTCATCTTTTAACTCTGCCACAGCTGATAAGCCAGAACCTTTGATGGTACATGGTCTAATAGTCACCACGCAGCATGGAAATATGCCCCATGCTGATCTGTTTTTGGTGCTAAATCCTCTGAACCATCCTAAAATAATATACTTACTCATATAACTTTATTTACAACAAAATAGACATATTTATATTTTGTAAAGACCAGTTATTGTGTCTCTAGATTCATTAAAATGTTTTCAAAAGAAAACAAACATAGAATGGTAAGCCATAAGTTTTTGAGATAACAAGTCAAAGATATTATATCATATAATAAGAGATATTTTTAAATCCCACTGTAGTTTGCAGATAATTAAAGAATTAAATATTTTTTTTAAATAAATACTGAATAATTTACCTCCATTTTCTTCCAGGATTTGTACAGTCTCTCCAATTTCTAAGGGTAAGCCTGATTTAACATCTCCTTTCCAATTGTATACAGCTGAAATTGTTATAAGACAAGAAAAATAGATCATCAGTCAAAATAAATAAGCATTTAAGAATACACATTTTTATTATTATCTGATGAAAACTCTACATTTTATAAACGAAATGGAAACATGTAATATAAACAAGCTCAAAGATGAAATTTTTCTAGAGATAAATAAAACTATGCATTGGGAAGTGCTAATTCAAGTTGTTATTTTCGGAAGCTAGTCATGTTTTAAATTCATATCAGGCTCTTTACATTTCCTGTAATAGTGCAGGATGTGATCAAAACGTCTTACTTACCAACTCCAAGTTTAGGAGTTTTTAAAGGGATCCACATTTTTATATCACTGCACTACTCAGACAGTATTTTAGCAAAACATTATGAAATAAAGCCCGATGCAGGTTCAACATTTAACAAAAAACATTTCTATGTACATTTATGTACTTGACTACTTGAATCGCGATAGCCGATCCCGCAGACAATAAAGATTATTATTGTCGCTACTGAGTATTGTAAATTGTAAAATCAATTTTGATAACTGACGGTTTGACACTGACTGAACATTTCCTATTCTGTGTATGACCAATAGTTTGAATGTTTTTGACCATAGGTGATAGAGATAAATTTTATAACTATGTTTAATAAGAAATGTCAAACTAAACGGCCGTCGGGCCGTCTATTGTCTAACACTACTGTGAACTATCTAAGTGTCTACTACCAAGCTACAAAGAGTCAACAAATATATTATAAAAACAATATATTACATTTTTATTATTTTGCAAATTAATCATAGAGCAATGGCTGACGATTTTATACCTCTAAATCAAAGCACGCCTGTCCAGGATAGGTGGAATGGGCGAAACCATAATGGTTACAACAAGACTGTGCATCAGCAAAATAATAATTACAGACGTAACAGTAATCAAAAATGGATGAATAACTCACACAGAAGCAGTAGTTTTGGGGTGAGTTGAAAAGAACACTAGACTGAACTACTTTAGGTGACGCGGAATTTAGTGTGTTAAGTTAATTTGAAGTTTCCCTATTAGGGAAACTTCGTTCTTTTTAAAATTAGTTGCAGTTTACATTTTTTGTATCATAATATCTAATAAATATATTGAAATAATGATTGTGCCATATTTCAGAGTGAAAGTAATAGCAGCTATACAAGAGACACTAAAATAAGTATAGATGCCTACCTCCACCCGTCAATGTTACAAGATCCTTGGGCACATCTTCGAAGAAATAATTAACTTAAGAGCTTATCATTAATTTTGTTTTTTAAGGATTGTATTAAGCTGTATAAAATAATTAAAGTAATTAAAAGGCTGAGAGGTAAATTGAGTAAAATAAAGGAACAGTAAGATTTAGCCCTACATATATCAAATTTATTTCTAACATTCAGGAGTCATACTTAGTGAAGAATCCAACTTAATTTAGCAAAGATTACTCTGAATCTTACCCTAAGACTCAGTCTAGTTTCAGTCATTATCTGAAGCTACCCTCTGTCAACTTTTATTTAACTTTCTTAAATAAGGTTTATAAAGTATATTGTAATTTATACTTCATCTCCAGTATAAAGAATAAGTGTGCATCAAATACAAAATCAAATGAATTCTTTATGATATAACTAGTACAGCTACATTATATCTGTGGTTGTTATTGCTGGTCGGATCCCTGATGGGATTTGCCTTGATTTGATTTACACAAAGCTATAATCTTAAAAACTTTTTCCTCTTAAGTGTTTTCTGAATTTTTTTTGGTAATATCTTCGACTGTGTAAATATTAGAAAGAAAGGCTATAGCAAAAATTCTATTTTAAAAATATTTCTCGTTGATATGTATAAAAGAGCATGAGCTCTTTTATAGTTGCAATTTTTATTGTTCTAGTGGTAATAAGCATGAGCTAATAACCACTAGAACAATACCATACTCTGGAGCCATAACGCTCACACCACACACGAGGGAATGCCTGAGAGTTGTGCAGCGGGCGATGGAGCGTGGCATCTCCCTTCGCTATCGCGCAATGATTCGTGAAATGACCGGCGTGGGCGACGTAGTAGGGCTGTCGCAACAACTTATAGACAAGAACCGATGGACCCGCAGGCTCCTTGAATGGTGATCGCAAAACAAAAGACCGCGAGGACGCCCACCGACTGGGTGGACTGACGACATCGTCAAGGAGGTTGGCTTCCAGTGGATATAGAAATGCCAGTGCAGGGCGTACTGGAAGGACCAATAAAAGAGGCTGATGATGATGGTTTGATATACAATAACTATCAATAGCCTTAAATGTACAAACATGTTTATGAACCTACTTGACACTTAGAATATATAATACACAGTTTACGGATTGCTGCGACATCACATGACATACGACTAGCGTGTATTCCAATAAAAAGTAAGCTTATAGTAACTAGAATACGTAGTTTATCAACGAGTGGTTATTATCGTATTAAATTTATTTTTAACTAATAAAGATTTTCATATTGTTTAGATTTACAAATCAGCCCGGCAGATGGCGCTGCAGTCGATACTTGCACACTTTGTTTAACATCCTAATCGAAATATCATGCAGGTCAACGTCTGTCGGGTCTACTAGTATAATAAGTAGTTTTTTATAACATGTGTGAATGCAATATTGGTCTAGTATAAAGAGAATATGAAAAAGGAGAGGAAGCCAAATTTATTGTTTGTACAGTCTAAGAACAATGCTGCATAGTTATATAAAAATAATAGGAGAGAAAGCCAGTGATGTTCCACGTTTATTTTTTACATGAAGCTAGAAATTGGCTTACCATGTGTTGCCTTATTCTGAAATAAAAATACGTTGCCGTCCATTAATTTGTTTGTTTTAAATTCTCATACCATATAATTTTATGTAGTTTGTATTTAAAGTACTCATTAGATATTTTTTTATAAAATTTTACCGTGGCTCTACCTACTAGAAAATATTAGTAAAACTTCACTTCCTGTCTCTCCGCTTAGCTCCTCTATATTTCTTTGATTTATACTTTAGAAGCATTACCTGTCCACATCGTATCCCTAACATAATTCTTTCTTTTTATTACATATGTTTCGTTCGATTCTTTATGTCTAGGTATGTTATAATAATTTATGTAGTTATGCATTTCTTGGGCTTACCTTACTTTTAATTTAATTTTTCCTTACAGTCGTTCCGTATTTTTTCGTTTCATTCGAATGCGTTAATGCCACGTTGCCCTTATTTAATTATTCCAATTGAAATGATTTCTTGCAACGAAGTGTTAAATAACAATAAAAATGACATGCAAGTAGGCGTACATTTGTATGTATTACGTCATAATATTGCTGTTTGGTTTATTATATATATCCGATCCATCGGTAGGTAGTTCTAAAATTTTCCCGCCTTTAATTCCCGCGGTGACAATGTAAGTGCTAAGTACTTTTTACCAATCTTGACAATTTTTATCATTACAATTTTCAAGCCTAACTAGCTTGAAGGTGTAACTAAATGTAGTCAGTAGGAGCGATGGTAAAAATGTTCATGGTACCTGGATAGCGTCACTTGTAAGCCGCTAAGGGCTTTTTCACACGTACCACAACCACACCACGTCGCAACGACAAAATGCTGTCAAGCAGTGGTTACGTGTGAATAGTGTCGCTGCAGCTTTTTGCGTTGTGGTACCGACAAAATGTCAATGTGGTTGTATTGTCCCCGGTAGTTGCGATGCGGTTACGTGTGCAGGCACAGTTCGACTCCAGCTTTCATTGCGGAACGTGTTTCCGCTATGAAAGCCGGAGTTGACTGACCAAACTCATGGAATTCGAAGCGGAAACTTTGTCACCTTAATCGAACGCAGAATTAATGAACCGGGGGAGGGCGGAAAGCGGCGGGCGCGCACTGTCGTTTGTTTTGTTACGTGTGTAAAAACCTTCATAAACTATACCATAAGGTATATATATATATATATATATATGTATATTTTTGAGGACAATCAGATATATATGAAAATGTTATAGAAAAGACATACAAATGTTTAAATGACATGAGAACTTATGAAGGCGCAGCGCTAATCAGATCCATGCAACTTCCTCACAATCGAGTAGCCCGCAATATCAGAGCACACAACTCACGAGGGCACTCTTTGTATCGAAGAAGTCGCATGGGTAAGAAATGGGTAAAGAAAATAATGAACACAGAAATGTTTCTAAAGCGCCCGGCGAAAGGTATCTTAAGAGTTACGCGACGGCGTGTGTCAGGCACAGGAGGCTGATCACCCACTTGCCTATTAAACTGACAAATATCATGAAATCGAATCAGAAATGCCCAGACCTAAAAATGTTGATGATTCGCACCAAAACGATAATCATTTACTAATATTCAAATGTATTACATACAAATTACATCCGATTTTCGGAGTCATTAAAAACTCAATCAACATGTCAATCAAGATATGAAACTACATCTGAATTGGTCAATTATATTGGGGTGGCTTTTGCGATATTATGGGGTGTAATGATATACTGAATATCGTATTGTATTTTCTTTTTTGGATTAGATATGGAATAGCCACTTTGAGAGGAAAATAAGTAGTTTCACAAAAGAAATTAGTACTAAGTATAGTTAGAGTAAGATTTAAAAAAAATGTGAATATTTATTTGTTTTAACTGCGTTGCAGTAATACAGAAGTACAGTAAAACAAAACAATAAATTTATTTTAAAAAATGCACACTAACGAAACACAGGTAAAGAGAACAAAAAACAAACAAAAATACAATACATGTATGTGCATCAATGACAAGTGTTCACAACATTTAAAGGTAATCATTAAAATGCTAAAAAAGAAAATAAACGACAATAAACTAGATTAAGAAATACGCAACTAAAAATATTTCTACTTTGCAATTGTTATTATTGGTGACGGAACAACAATTCTTACGTATGCAATACTTTACTATTATATAAAAAGAGGGCAAGTGGCGGGCTTATCGCTTTCGTGCGATCTCTTTTTAGGCTGGACAGAAATATTAGGTGAGCGCAAGAAGTGCACAACTACATAAGACATAATTACTTAGACAAAACTAATGAAACAAAGCAAAGCAATTAAAACATATGTTAACAGTGAAAGGGACAATAACAAAAATACGCTATGGTTCGTGCTACGTCTCGCTTCTGAATTCCTATAGTAGGTATTCTTATATTATAATTCTGTAGCTATAGGCTCTGTACAATACAGAACAGTTTGTTTGCCTATAAGAAGTAATTAATAATATACCTATTAAAATCATGAAAATAATGTCCTATCAACGTGTCGTCAGGATCTTAAATAAACAAGCGAATATAAAAACCAATTTAGAAAATTGCTGCAATCAATTCTACCGAAGGACTCAACCAGTTCCACGCCATTTGGAAATTAAGGATTTGCGTCGTGGTATGTTTATTGTAGGTTCAATCTGTCTATTTTTGTAGAACGTAATTAGGAATAGGTTCATTTAAGAATCCTAACAGATTTAAGTTTAGTCAGCAAAGTTAATATAGGTATAGAAAAGTCTTAAAAAAAAAAAAATTTAATTGGCTAACACTACAAGGATGTGTTAAAAATTCGTTGGACTTGCGTTTCCGTTGTTTCATATTGTTTTGTTCACTTGAGATTCCTAACAGATTTAATTTTAGTCACCGAAGTTGATTATGTAAAAAAGAAATTGTATTTTTTTTATTATATTTGTGTTGCTTCAGATTATTTATAATACACATAACAATTATCTGTACAAAAAAATAACCGAAAGTAAAGGCAGTGATAAAAAATCTCGTTGAAATAATGAAAATCGAAAGAATTACCAAACGTTTGCAGATGACAGGAAAAATTCATCAGAATTGTGAAAACAAATATGGAAACCATAGTCCCGTGCCGAAAAGATCATTGAAATTCAATTAATTTTCACGAGGCGAGTGGACGCTCGAATGAAAGTTCGGAGCTTTACCACCCCACATGCGGTTTTGTTTCCGCTTTGTACGGTCCGACGAAGAAAAACCCACCGTAACTCGGCGACTTGTTTGACTTCTGATTTTTATTTTTAATCTGTGACCGACTGAAGTTCTTTAGTGCCGCATAAGCTGTGTTCGTTGTGGTGGTGTTTATGAGTCGTTGTTGCAATTTTGTGAGTACCCTGGCTTGGCGGTTAGAGAATGCTTAATCGATAGGATATTATAATATTATTTACAAATATATATCACATATATTTTCGTTTCACTCACGTAAAAGGATATGTC